GGCGGTCCCAAGCCCGGGCGGGCTGGCGTGGCGAGTGGCGTCCGCTCCGGCTCCGGGCGAGCGAACTTCCAGCCAATGGGAGCGCGGCACGGAGCCCCCGCCGGACGCCTGGCGAGACGTGGCCCCGACCCGCTGGCCTGGGGTAGGTCGGGCTCCGGGCGGGCCTTGGGTCTGGCCGAGCTGGGGCGGGAAAGAGCCGCTCCAGGCCTCAGGTTAAGAGTGATGACAGTTAGACATATAAGGAAAAGAGGGAGGAAAGAAACATTTAAAAAATAAAAAGAGCAACTTTTGCATATCGAGGGCAGGGTCTTTATAACTTAAGCTTCTGTTTATGGTGGAGGTGAGTTACTACTGTTTAGCTCAAGGACTGCACGAAACAGTATCCTGAATTCTCTTTTATTTGAACTCCCAGCTTGTAAGAATCGCTCGTGGCGCTTGTAAAACATGTATCCCCAGAGCCCTTCCTAGACCTACGGAACAACTGCAATGGAGGGTCTCGAAGACGCATGTATAACAAATGCTCTTGGGCACTTCTTAGGACCAGGCAAACTTAGGAAATATTGAGCTATGTTACATTGCTTTTGTCTTGGAAATAGGATCTTCTTTTTATAAGGGGGTAGTGGGAGGGGAGAGGCTGTGTGCAGTGGCTCTCACCTGAAATCTCTACGCTTTTGGGAGGCCAAGGTAGAGACTCGCTTGAGGCCAGCCCAGGCAACATATGGAGACTGTTTTCAACGCTGGATTGGCCAGTCTGCATTGGCCAATCAAATTTAAGTTAAAATCTGTAGTAAATAAAGTATCTTAGGAAGGAAACAGACAATTTGCAACTTAATATTCACATTCAATTTGCAAGTTCCACCAAAATGCAGGTTCAGGATCAAGGCTGGGGTTGGGCTTTCTGCAGGGTCCCTGGGCATGCTTCACAGAGGGGGACAAAGGAGAAGCTGCTGCGTAGCCTAAACCCTGGCTCAAGCTCTCTTTTTACTCTTCTACTGCCTGGGCTGCTTGCTGTCTTGCAATTTGGGGAAGGCAAAAATCTCACCCAACGAAAAGGACTCTTCCATGTGCCAGCTATGGCGTGTTGTAATCAAGTGTTTCTTATTTTCCATTACACCTCCTGTGTATTTCAAAGTCCCCTGGCCCTGAAAATGTGATGAGAGTGCCATATAACAACTTATCTTCTTCATCACTCCCTTGGCCACTCAGCCAATATCAGATTTGGGAGTCCAGTCAGGCCTTGCTTCCCAAGTTTTTCAAGAACCCTGGCGTAACAGGCACATGGTCTAACTTAAAATTTAGGAAGGGCAAACCTTATAGCCATTTCCAAATGCAGCAAACAAAAGAAAACAAAACCTCTAAACAGTTGAATCTTTATGTGAAAGGCATTGCCCTTCACAACTGACATTTGCAATCTTTTTTTTTTCTTTTTGTAGAGATTGTTTTCAAAACACATTCACATGCCTGCTCATTTAATCTTCACAAAAAACATTAAGTTTATTTCACAAACCATATTGAAAGAAAGCAGGGGTTCAGTTCTCAGAACTTGTTGGCTCAGGGCAGAAAAACAATTACCACAATTTAGTCAGGGAAACTTACATTGAAAATAGTAGCTAGCCCTCAAGCAAAGAAAGACCTGTCCTCCAATCTTCCCAAGACTCCCCGAAGGCCACAAGTTTGACGTTAGTGCACTTCAAGGCATACCCTAGCAATTAGAGGTGAAATTCGTTAAGTATTTTCATCTAGAATTAAATTGAAGCCTGGCACAGTGGCTCACACCACTAATCCTGGAAATTTGGGAAAGGGAGGTGGGAAGATTGCTTGAGACCAGAAGCTCAAAGCCAGCCTAGGCAACATAGCAAGACACCTTAACCCCTTCGAGATAGAAAAAACTTAGCCAAGAATGGTGGTGCACACCTATAGTCATAGCTACTTGGGAGGTTGAGGTAAGAGGATTGCTTGAGTCCACAAGGTTGAGACTGCAGTAAACCATGATTGCACCACTACACTCCAGCCTGGGTACAGAGTGAGATCCTGTCTCATTACAAAAAAAAAAAAAAAAGGAAAGAAAAGAAAATGGGTTTGTGACTAGCCCTTTAGATTAGACTAGGACTCCCCTCAAAGTAAATATAGCTGATGAGATTGAGACGACACTCGTATCTAGTCAGAAGACCCTAAACTTAAAAATCTTAAGTTACAGTTTGATTTTTGATGGCTTTTTCTGTAATCACACAAGAGCACCAGGAACTGATGAAAAAAAGAAAAGGAGGCAGTTTCGTTGTAAAAATAGGTTCACTCTGGGGAGTGCCAGAGATGACAACTGAGAACCTAGACGCAGAAGTCAGGTGTTCACATCATAGCTCTGCCCTGTGAGTGACCTTGGGAAGTTAGTTAACTTTTCTAGACTTTTTGACTTGCCCATAAGATGGAGGGGTGATAAAGAACAGCACTTATCGCAGCTGTGATATACATACAGAGGGTGCCAAAAAATGTATACATATTTTTAAAAGGGAAAAACTGTATTAATATTGTAATAATACTGAAAACAAAAGATGAATACAGGTTATGTTTGACTTCTGCAATTACAAGAGGTGCACCACGTGGTTACTATCAGCATCCAGACACTTCTGATTACAGCAAACTAAAAGTATTATATAGATAACATCGCTTAAAATGTGTATATATTTTTTTGGCATCCCAGGTATATATGTGGGGGGGTATATAATGTACTTACAGCAGTGCTATATACAACTCAAGCCCTATTATTAATACTCTTCAATTCAGAACCTCTTAAAACTAGCATCTAGTAAAAAGTACTTGGTACATAGACACCTGAGATCTGTTGAATTAAAACAACTAATCCCCTCCTATATTCAAAGCACTATTTTAGCAGAAAACTGTGTCTAAGGAAATAGAGTATAAAAGAGGACAAGAGCTAAAACTTACCACAAACCAAGAACAGCTAAAAAAGCTTTGAGTCAAGTCTACACTGAGTTCTATTTATCTCAACCTGTAGCAGCTTCTAAACATAACGGCCCTAAATCTCTGTGATTTGGGGATACAACCTACAAGGTGGTCCAAATTCAATCTCATTTTTGTAGTTGGAAGAAGGTGACCTGGCCAATGTGTTTCAGTGACTTTAAAGTTATCCTCCATTATAAATAGGCTGACCTTCTATTTGATGGACAGAAATCCAGAAGTTTGGATTTACCCAAAAGTTTGTCAACATGCTCTGTTAGCGACTGGGCATGGCAGCTCACATCTGTAATCCCAACACTTTTTGGAAAGCTGAGACAGGAGGATCAGGAGGCCAGGAATTTGAGGCTTCAGTGAGCTATGATCACACCTGGGACTAGCCACTGCACTTCGGCCTGGGCAACATAGTGAGACTTCATCTTTTTTAAGAAGACACAGGGGTCAGAGATTGGTAAAAATTAAAATGGCACTTCCCCTATGAAGGGTCATTTGACAATTTCTAGTATCAGAAAACAAAATTACAACAAATTCATTTATAGAGCTAACTGATTTTTATTCATGATTCACAAGTCCAGCAACCTCTATTCTACAAAACAGAACGAAATCTACCAATGGGCAACAGCAGAACAGTGGGTTTTGTCAAGTGGGAACAAGGAAACAGAACACTAGAAAAATAACTGATTGGTTAGCATCGGATTACTTCAGGTTACTTTTTTTTACAAGGGTTTACACAGAGGGGACCATTACACTGACCCAGGTAGACTGGAATCTTCTGTATTCAGGAAAAGTTCAATTTGATTATGTGGCATTTAGCATGAGCAACTCCATTCTTGTTTGGTCAGGTCTGTTGGGGCCTAGTACAAGAGCTCAGTCTAAAACAATGGTGTCCCATAATTTTTGTTTAACATTCGTGTAAATATAAATGCATTTAACCTTTGATCCAGATATGCTTCTATGAGTTGCTACACATGTACAAAAGTATTTCTTGTAGTACTGTTTATAAAAGCAAAAGGTTATAAACAACCCAAACGTCTATCAACAGGGACCAGTTAAGTAAACTATGGGATACTGACACAATGAGAACCACACATACAGCAGGGCGGGCGCAATGGCTTACACCTATAATCCCAGCACTGTGGGAGGCTGAGGCTAGAGGATTGCCTGAGCTCAGGGGTTGGAGACCAGCCTGAGCAACAAGGCGAGACCTAATCTCTACAATAAATCAAAAAAAAATCGGCCAGGTGTGGTGGCACATGCCTGTAATTCCAGCTACTTGGAAGGCTGAGGTGGAAGGACTGCCTCCAGCAGGTCAAGGCTGCAGCCTGAATGACAGAGTGAGACTCCTACTCCAAAAAAAACAAAAAAGCCAAACACGCAATAAAAACCACGCAGTAAAACAGAAACCACAGTGCTTCAAAAAGAGGAACTCTGTCAAATCAGTATGCTACCTTTTCTGTGATTAA